AAGTTGAAGACACTGATACCACAATCATTGATGTTGGAAGAGTCAAAGACACCTTTCAAAAAGACAAACAGGGAGAATATATCGAGGAAGCCAATTGTGAGTATGAAGCTGAAGATGATACGAGTAAGAGAACAATTGAAGCAAGTGAATCTAAAGAGAATGAAACGATAACTGAAGAGGTATGTGCAGTACTAGACAGACTGTAGTTCTTTTATTTTTCTTTGGTTTGTTGGTCAAATTATGTAGCTGTTTCTATGGTCTACAGTTTCCCGAGCAGCCTGAGAATGCTAGTGCCACTGAGAACAACGAGAGACAAGACTTAGGGAAAGAGCAAAGTGTCAATCACTCAGGTCAAGTAACTTATGATGAAAAGTCAACAAAAGGAAGCCACGAAGAAGATGAAAGAAAAAAAGATGATGTAAAACAGGAAGTTATTATATTGGTGGATGAAGATCAGATTTCTGAACGAAATGCTGAAAAAGATCAAGGAGAGGACGCATTTGAATCCAAAGCTCCAAAGACTGAAATTTTAAATGAAGAGGTCAGTGAAATGGAGTACATACTTATTTACAATGTCGCTTCTCTTCTTTTCATTTCTTTTGACTGAAGTTATCTGCTATATTGAAGATAACTTACATAAATAAAGCGGATAAAAAATAATTCTTCCAATATTGAAAAACAGATGATGAAAGGAGGACACGTAACGGACCAAATCTCTGTAAGAGAAGTATCAGTTCAGGAGAACAACCATGGAGAAGAAACCAAAGAAGCAGAGGTTGAGGAACAATATCCTACTTTGGTGCCTGAAAAACTACAAGATGAATCAAAACATGTAAGAGATGAGGAAGGGAAAACAAATGAGACCACAGAAGAAGAAGTAAATCAAATGGTAACACTCACTCCCTTTGTGGCAGTCTACCATTTAACACTAGTTTTCTTCTTCCCACCCTTGATTTCTCTAAGTTTACAGTTTAAGTTTAGACATATAATGCCTTTGGTTGATTGGATTTCTGACTCACTTCAATCTTGTCTCCTTCCTTTTTGACATGAGATGGATTTCATTAGCATTTGTGCTTAGTAACCACCAGAACATGTCAACCTTGACCTTCTTCACTTCATTCCAAGTTCAATCAAAAGTTATCCACTACAAGATTCTTTACTTTTAAGAAAGAAGAGTTTAATTTACAGGGGTTTTCTACTTAAATTTTATTATTAATTTGTTTTAATCGTCAAGTCATATACTAATTGAGTTTGACTCTGAAAAGAGAGTTTTAATAGACAAGATAAAACTTTAATGCTTGGATCAAAATTACAGCTTTTATTATTTTTCTTCTTTTTTTTTAATCATCTAAATCCTCAGCAGATTAACAGTTCTGATCTCGTATTGGTGGCACAAGACATAAGTCAAGCAGCTGAGAAAACTAAGACAGTAGATGTAGAGGACAAGGAAGGCGAAAGATGGAAACTTGATGATGTACCTGTTAAAATCGCACCATCTCAAGAAGCACCAAATGAACTGATTCATGAAAGTATCACCAGATATTTGGAAAGGAAGGAAAGTGAAGCCGAAGTTGCAACTGATTCAGAAAACTTTGTTGAGCTTAAGCAGACTTCCAGCTCGGACTTCGATACAATGAGTACTGCAAAGGAATTGCATATTAAAGAAGATCTCCCCACTGATGTTCTTGATGCTTCATCTGTTGTGAAAGCTTCACAGGAAGAAATACAAGAAAAGGAAAGTGAGGAGAAACAAGAGGTTGTATTTGTCAAGAAAGCGACAATGGAACCAAACATACCAACAGAAGACAACAGAAAGAACATTGAGCATCAGGTGAAAATAATAAACATGAGCAAAAACAAGTTTGAACAGATAATAGTTGTACACAATTACCATATAAAAGCTTCACAGGCAAAAACCTTATCATTTAACCTGTTATGACTAAATTTATTATGCAGGCTCCAGTACCAGAGATAACAAATGAATCTGTGGAGAAGATAAATGACCACAATATTCAAGAAAAGTTGGGCGTGAATGAGGAAGGATTATTACCACTTCTGAAACAGGATGAAACTCCTCAGGACTTCAAAATTTTGGATAAAAGCTCTGATGTAATAGATGAAAATAAAATCTCAGAAGGCAATAATAACATTGCGGAGAAAGAGGAAGATATCTCCATTAAGAGCATAGTAGTTCCATCGGTGCCGGCAGGTCTAATGGGGAGTTACTTACATACAGCTGAGGATGAAGAAGGGACTCAGGGAGAAGCTCAACGAAATGACCTGGAAGTGATCGAAGTGGACTGTGAAGCAGAAGAAAAAATGCAAAATTTAGATGAAGAAACTAAACTTGATTCCGAATCATCAGCAACAAAAGGAGCTCAATTGTTTGATCTGTTAATCATATCCAGAAAGGATGCTGAGCAGGCTGATGGAAAAGAAGAATTGGAACACAAAGAGGCACTGACGGTAAAGGAAGAACATAAAACAAATGAGAGAGAGGCAGACGAAGAAGGGGAAGAGGAAGATGAGCACAAAAAGGAAGACTCAGGCTCTGATGCCCCAGTCATGGTTGAAGCCTCAAGAGATATCGATGTCAAACAAACCCCAACAAAGAAATCACATAGCATATTATCAGGTGTTGGGTCCAAGGTGAAGCACTCAATTTCCAAGGTGAAAAAAGCCATCACTGGCAAATCATCTCACCATAAGCAAATGCCACCAAAATGAAGAAGTTCAAGTGGGTGACTTATGGCAGTTAAAACAGTTGAGGAGCATAATTGTCTCCAAGGTTTGAGTATCATACAAAGGTGTGAAAGTGTGTTGTGTGAATATGATTAGATTGATT